TTCGTAGCCCTCTTTATAGGGTATATATGTGCACTTATGCGTGGTAGAGTCAGTCAACGCTGCCAGTGAGACAAGATGCTCATGTAAAATATCTCGCAAAGAGAAAAATTTCTACAGCATGACAATCAGTTACAACGAGCACTCTAATTCGACACTCATGTACTCAGACTGTTGCAAGCATAATATTTCTGCACTTATCTGCGATGGCGGCATATGACGTGAAAAAGCCGAGCATTCAATGAATGTTCAGTGAAACTAATCAGCCAGAGACAACCACTTCTCTGCGCATTGCATAGATAGTGGTTGATAAGTACTGTATAGGACAAGGACCTCAGTGTGACGCATCACTTAACGAATGTGCGACACTCGTGTACTCAGACTGTTGCAAGCATAATAGGTCTGTACTTATCTCCGATGGCGTCATATGACGTGAGGAAGCCAAGCATTCAATGAATGTTCAGTGAAACAAATCTGCCAGAGACAACCACTTCTCTACGCATTGCATAGATAGTAGTTGATAAGTACTGTAGGACAAGGACCTCAATATGATGCATCACTTTTACGCATGTGCTTGTTTTTGACAAGAGCTTTATCTTCCCGAATTAGGCCAGCGTCTCTTCTATTTTACAACGCCAACCAAATGCGTGCCCAGTCAGGCCATTCACTACTCATTCCTCTTGCCCTCTCTTACCCTTTCCCATCACCTAGCGTTCACGGGGAGAGAGCCTTATGTGTGGTGCTTAACGACGCAAATCAGATGATTTGGTTTGGGAGAACTCTATCCTGAGATTCCGAAGGCGTGTGTCCTAGCACACGGGCCGCTCCCACGGCGGGACAGTTAGGCCAAGCCCTCTGGACAGCCGAAAATTGGGCTGTGATGTCCGGAATCCACGGAACGAATCCCCACTTGCTGGACCAAGTAATCTTTTTCTTCAGTTGTGTACAGATCCGTGAGGCCGCGTTGTCTTGCATTCGTCATGTTCACCTTGCTGGCGGTTCCACCTCATGGCTTTGAGACACGGTGTTTTGAGATAGCGCGTCTTCGTTCGTGGCGCTATGCAGGATTCCAAAGGGGATACGTCACTAAGACGCTGCAGCATGCGCTGTCCTTAAGAGGTGCCACATGAGTGGTGTGAGGTGGCGGCGGGAAAAATTCGAGACACACAGAAGGAGTATGATGGAACAAATTTGACAGGTTTAATATATTGGAGAGGAAAAGCAAATCTATCGCATCTTTTCCTGCTTTATTCAATCGTTGAGCTCCTTTTTTCAGCAAGAATGAGCCAAACAAGACAGATAGGCATAATGTTGCTTCCAATGATAGGGCTTCCTGAAGATACTTGTACTATATCTGATAAGCTCCTGTATCTGGTATCGGGCCCTTGTACTATATCTGATAAATGTGGCTGAAACCCATTTTTTTATGGATTACTCGGATATCACTCTCAGAATTGCGTCCTGAATATCGTAGTCAGAGCGCAACGAATGGAGGGAGGAACAGTGGGTGGAAAGAGTGCTGACGCAGAGAAGCACCTGGTCCTCCTTCAGCCTTTGTGCTCTGCAGGTGCTGTTCTCCATACAATGTTCCTGCGGCTATCGCCGTGCGATCGATATATTGCAATATAAGTTCAACTTCGCTTAAACTTTTGCTCGGCCGAGTTTGTTCATGATTCAGGGGTCATGAATCCACAGTTAATAGATCATGGTTCATGAATCAACACCGTGTGTGTGTTTCTTCTTTCAGTGTTTCGTCTTTTTGTGCTGGTAAATCTATATTAATAAATTTTACTTATCAATGATGGATATTTAGAAAAAAAAAAATACGCATAAATAATCAATCGCTGTGACGTGTCTGCCTCATTCTATATATTCTATTGCTTAATATTATACGCTGGTAGGTACACGTGGTTAGGTAGTCAACTGAATTGAGTAGCGCTAAGGGCCACGCCTACTACGAGTACGTGTGATAAAGTCGAATTGGTGCAAAACGAAGGAAAAAAAAGCCAGTGCTGAAGCTCACCTCAAAGACGCTCGAGTTCTGCACTCCGCGCTACACACAGTGGTCAATTTAAACGTTGAAAGAGAATGAACCCCTGAAGTTATCCTGATTCCGATCATTCAAAATTGCTCATAGGGCGATGAGAGGCGAACAATAGAGAAAAAACTCGGGCTATTTTTTCATTGTTGCATAACGCATCTGTTGCTAGATCTCGCCTCATTTCGTTGAAGGGGTGATACAGAGATTATGTATGTCGGTAAAAAATAGCTTCACCCCTTTAGCTGGAGGGAGCGCTTTGATAATAACTTGACCGCGTCACTTCATCGCTCGAAGCCTTTGTACCCATCCCGTCCGGCCCCCTCCCCTCCCCTTGGCCCTGTTTTCCCCTTCGTAAACGAATGCATTGTCTGTACGCTCTTTGCTTCGAATGAAATCGAACGCGTACTCTTGAGTGGTTGCCCTGTGCACACGTGAAAATTGTGCTCATTCACTCTTACTAAACGAAAGCATACACACTGTGTAATTGCAGTACAGTTGAATTACACGCGGTAAATAAACAAACTCGAACACAGGGAAGCAGGCAATAAAACCGAGAGCGCTGATCGAACTTAGATCATAACAATTTTCTATCAATTTAAAGAAGTAAAATCCAACAGATACTACGGCGCACAGTGAAATATGTCCAGGTTTCGCTCGATATTGTACATTATTATACTTTTACATTATTATTACATTAATATACTTTTACATTTAAAAAATAAATTATTATCTTATAGTGCAATAGGCTTCATGGCTTCACTACTCAGAAACAGTGAAGCCTGAAAATTTCTTCTACGTGTTTAACGTCGCTTTGTCGCACGATTTGTGAATTAACTGCTTTCTCAAGTAAGTAACGAAATAAGCGAAAAGTTGCTATCACAGCGTAGCCGAAGGCTGTTGTTTAATTCGACTTGTTGTTATTTATAAAAAAAAATCACCACATTATCCAGAAAGGCAATGGTGTTTGAGGAGCTTGCTCGCTGATAATCGGGTAACCCTCGAATCCTCCGTACACATTCTTCTACCATCAGAGAAAGACGTAATGGGTTTGCTTGACGGTGCTCCGACTTCGTTTCTGCTTCACTGGCCCACAGCTCTGGGTTTGCTCCACGGCGAGCCCTTTTCGCCTCGGTCCCCCGTCTCTCAGCCGCAAGGTGGCGAGCCCCACCTGTTGCTGCGTTACGAAGCCCTTCTTTCTTGGCTTCTTGGGTGTTCGTGCTGCGGAGTGGTAACGAATAGTGTGTTTTGAGTGTTCTTCCTGTACGACAGAACGAAAAATAAACCTCGATTTGAGTGAGCTCTCAGCGAAGATCAAGGAAGCGTGCCAAACGCGAGCGCTGTATGCAGGCGCGCTTCTCTAGCAGTCACCTATCCAACTAGAGCAGACCCGCAGGTCGCGCGTTCAAATCCCGGCTGCGGCGGCTGCATTTCCGATGTAGGCGGAAATGTCGTAGGCCCGTGTGCTCAGATTTGGGTGCACGTTAAAGAACCCCAGGTGGTGAACATTTCCGGAGCCCTCCACTACGGCGTCTCTCATAATCACATGGTGGTTTTGGGACGTTACACCCATCAAATCAATCAATCAATCAATCAATCAATCAATCAATCAATCAATCAATCAATCAATCAATCAATCAATCGATCAATCAATCAATCAATCAATCAATCCAACTAGAGCATGTGTCCGAGTGTGCGGGCGGTGTGCGGGCGCCGCTTGCGTGACTCGACGGAGAGAGCGCAGCTGCGAGAGAGTACAGCGGCGCCTCTAGCGGGAGCAATGAGGACTAGTGCACACGCCGCCGACATCGAACAAGGGGCGAGCATAAAAGCTTGACGAGGAAGCTCCGGAAGCTGCCCGCATGAGCACTTGCGCTACCATTGACAGTCACTAGTTTGATCATCTGAACATTTCACCCTCGACACATTCAGGCGTACTCAACCCTTTGATAATTCCTGTATGTAACACTCAAGCTGGCTCGCTCAAGTTGATACTAAGCAGGACTGCCTGCTAAGGAGAGGGTGTTTGGTTCTTTGACGGTGTTTCAATTGTCTTTCAAGCAAAGCAGAGCAGATGAGATTTGCCGTCTGATAGGCGAAAAGAGATCGTTGTTATCGCTCATCTGCATTCTGTCTCGTTCCACTTCAAGGTGGTAGCCGCTAATTATGACGTAAAGACCATCGCTTGTGCTTGCAAAAAGCTGGGGAGTGTTAGCGCAAACGCTGATAGGAGGGCGAGGAACAGGTGGACAGGTACCGATGGGGAAATTCACCCCGTCCGCATTCTACACGACTCACGGACACTGTGCCAGCGAAGCGATCTACTCCTATTTCTTCGTAGTAGGGTAATACATATACATCGTTTTTGAACGTCCGCCTAAGAGAGCACGCCAACTCTCCAAGAGGTGCGTCGTTCACGCCTATTTCACTTCATTGCCGGCTGTGGAGTTGCGCAGTTGAGTACAGCCGCGGTAGTCATGAAGCAAAGGATCAGTGCACGCGCGAAACGAAAAAACCTATTCGAAATACTACTACTACTACTACTACTACTACTACTACTACTACTACTACTACTACTACTACTACTACTACTACTACTACTACTACTACTACTACTACTACTACTACTACTACTACTACTACTAATAATAATAATAATAATAATAATATAATAGTAATACCTAGGGTTTTAAGTCTTAAAACAAAGATGTGGTTATGAAGGGTGCCGTATACGGGAGGGCTCTGACCCTGTGGTGTTCTTTAACGTGTGCTGACGTGTGCTGCACAGTACGCAGGCCTCTCCCATTTATTCATCATAGACATGTTACCGCCGCAGTCGCGATCGACTCAGAGACCTTTGGGTCAGCAGCCGAGCCCCATAACCGCTGCTTCATCATGGCGGACAGCTTCTCTGGAAACATTAGCGATATTCACAGCACTGCGAACGGCTCTACTATGCAACATGATTTGTGTATAGTACGAAGTGTATTTAGCGTCTTCTCGTGTATACAATATTTTGCCGAGCAGGGTGCAAGAACAAGCTCGAACCCTTTCCGTTCCAGTTTACGTCCGAGGACGCGCTAGGCACACTAACGGTGAGCCTCTGTACGAGTCGTACGAAAATGTAGAACACGTCCATTTTTGCCAACTTCTCTCCCGGGCAGCTGCGGGCTCCCTGACCGAAGGTGATCAGAGGACCAACGTCGGTGCACACTTTTCCCGTCACGGGATCGAGGAACCGTTCGGGACGGAACTCCTCGGGCTCCTCCCAGTTCTTTGGGTCATGGTGCACGGCGTAGATGTTGTACAACATTCCTGTGTCCTTGGGTATGTCCCACTTGCCTGCAAAACCGGGAATACTGGTTAAGCGCAAGGCTATACGTTGTGTAGCTCCGACATCACTGTACAGGTGGATTAATCTTGTTATACACTTAGTTAATGTAATTCAAGTGCAATGGAGCAGGCTCACATACGCGCAGCCATTGATTAACGCACTCATTGAAGATGCTTGCATGTTGTTGTAAGCGTTTAAAGGACTGCCGTGACAGAACGCCTTGGACTGCTTTGAACGATTCAGAGCCGGTCGCATAAGTACGGTACTCACAGATTGAAATAGGACACTCGAAGTGCGTGGCCGTCGGTACATGCAGCGCCGTTCGTGGGTGCTCGTGGAAACAAGGTCTTGCGTTTTGATATAGAGTGAGGGAAAGCACATCTACAGAGCAGGATCGCTGCTTCTGGTCTCCAACGGGTTGGCCGGTAGTTCACCATGTACACACTTCCAGAGTGGCGGAGCATATGCTAGGGACCTTACGTGTACTTCAAAATGCCAGCCAAACTGGCTCACCGATGCACACCTCTACTCCGCCACGGTGGCCTAGTGGCTAAGGTACTCGGCTGCTGACCCACAGGTCGCGGGATCAAATCCCGGCTGTGGCGGCTGCATTTCCGATGGAGGCGGAAATGTTGTAGGCCCGTGTATTCAGATTTGGGTGCACGTTAAAGAACCCCAGCTGGTCGAAATTTGCGGAGCACTCCACTATGGCGTCTCTCATAATCATATGGTGGTTTTGGGACGTTAAAACCCACAAATCAATCAATCAATCAATCAATCAATCAATCAATCAATCAATCAATCAATGCACACCTCTGTCGGTGGCCGCTCAATTTACCAGAAGATGCCGAGTTGGAGACCGATCGGGATGCACCCATTACATACAATGACATCACGAAACACTTTTACCTGAATGTCGCATTTTCCATCCCCACATCCCAAACTTAACAGACCGCAGGCGCTAACCCTACGCCTGTTACAGACCTACACGAACCCAAAGCTTGCCAAGCTTCACATTTATTATTGTGATGCATACCCCAGCGACACGTGCCCCTCGTGTGGACACACGGCGACACTCGCACACGTGCTCTGGGAGTGTAGAAACACTCCTGCCACTCTACTAAAACAAGTGGTCCCTCAGGAGCTCGCTTCTCACCGACCAGCAATTGGCCGTCCAGCAGGCCCACGAAGCGGCCGCCATGTACTCCTTGTCGGTTCCTACGTGGGAGACGGCCGCTACGCGCTAAGTGCGCCCTGTAGGACTGAAAAAAAGTTTTTTCATTCCATTCCATGCCGCGTTCTTTCCTGGTTGATGGCCAAATGAAGCTTTTGGCGCAGAATTACTGCAGTATTGCCTGGTAGGGGTGACTGTTTCTTTTCTTTTTGTCTCGACAAAAACTCAAAACAAACTTTTCTGCAGAGGTTTATAATATCTACGAACGCACACATGACGCACTCTTTTGACTGATTCATGTATCTTACTTTCTCAGCATGCATGCCACATGACCAAGGTGCACACAATAGGTCGTCTGTTCGCGCCGCAATGTAAGTGGCGCGCGCCGCAGCGAGCCAGTTTGGTCGACATGCGAATACGGGTGAGGCCTGCAGCACCGTGCTGGTAGTGTTCAGTGCAGTTGGCACACTACAGGCTGACTCGTTGGTTACCGGAAGCAATAATAATGCTGCGTAATGTTTTCCACTTTACTCTCAATGTAACACATCGGTGCCACGAGCATAGAGTCTCCAAAATTTAACCAGAGGTGACTCTGGCGCTGCGATTGTTCAACGTCAATTGGAATGATGGGTATAGCACGCGGATTTGCCTAGCCTTCGTGTTTGCAGGTTTCGAACGCAGTTGTGGCTTCGTTTATTGCAGTGTTTTGGTTTCCTTTCGAATGAAAGAACAAATCTTCTTCTACTTCGTGACCCGATTTAAATTGAGGTGCCTAAAGGGGTGAAGTGCAACTGCTAAATAGGGGCTGATTTCTTTTTCGCTACAAAGCAGCTCCAAGTCACGCGATGCCAAACGGAGCCGAAAGCACAAAAAAATTAAGCAAATTCATGAACAACCCATCATTCCCGTGATTGCCGAAGAGCCGTGCGTTGCAGCTACCATAGACGCTAGCACCAGAGTTACCTCTAGTGTCTATTTATAAGAAAGTCGTTGCACCCACGAGCGGCGCTACATAACTATCGTGCATGAGCGTGTGTCAGCGCCGTAAGTCGGAGATGAGTTGCAAATAGTGCGAGAGTATAGCGCATGCCCGCTAATCGCGCTCAGCTTTGGCTCAGCTGGGCCAGACAGCGTGAACGAGCGAATACTTTCGATCGTACTTGCTTTACCGAGGATGAAAGTTGCAGCCACAAATCGAGAAAGTCACACGACAAATATGACCGCGCCTGCATTGATGAAATAAGGAGTATAAAGTGGCTCATCTGCAGTGCGCTGATATGCCGTTACGCCCACCTGAGCGTGCTTTGTGGGCATGCGCGTACCCTCACTCTGTTTGCAACTCGTCACCGTTGTACGGTGCTGACGCACAAAAAAGTGTCGCCATCCCCGCTAATATACCGAAGATCTGGGTGACTGTTCCGGCAGCCAAGTGCTCCGAGTGTCCTATTTCAATCCGTGAGTACTGTACTTCACGTGTTATGACAGGTGCTCCACACAATGGCGAGATGATCACCACTGGCTCATCAGGAAGTAATTTTGCTCCAGATGTAATTTCGTGCCGGGTCAAGTGCTGACGGCATGTGGTGTGCCCCAAGTTTGAAATCGTATGCTGTCGCCTAAAGCGGCTGAGCTAAAATTTTTGTGCTCAGTCAAGAGTTGTACTGATAAGCGAATCAAATTTACGTTAGCGTTGGCAAATGCAAGATTCAAAAACCTACTTCAAGGAAAAAGAAACCTCCGGACAATATGGTAAAAGATTTTTTTAAGCACGCTTTAGTTGATTAAGATGCAGGATATCATTTTAGTCGAGGCTGATATGCAAAGACATTTGCGAATTAAAAAAAAAGTTTCGTGAATGTTTTTCCAGGAACTTCCGAACACAGCACTACAATTTTAAAATAGGTAGCTATGCTCCACGTCGAATCTAAGCAATGACCACAAATGCGTGCACGTTTTTATTTGCTCTTTGCTTGCTGTTGTGATTAGGCTTGAACTTACCGACTCGAGTGTCTGTGGTTGTATTATGCGGTATTCCGAGAGGCGTTGCGGGGTGCATCCTCAGTGTTTCTAGCAGACAGGCGATGGTGAAAGGAAGTTTCTCACGGTCCCCGTACGCGGGTGGCCGGCTCCCTGAACACAGGAGAGAAGTACGTTGTGAGAGAAAAATCAAATGGTACACTAAGTAATTTAAAGATTTCACTAGATTATTGTGACCAGACATACTGCGCTTTCCTGATCACCCCATCGTACACATTGTAGCGGCTTGAGTGATGATAGAGGAGTTACACTTGACAAGCAGCTACTAAGCTCATGATAAAAATACTTTTTTTATTTTTGGGGGGTGGACAAAGACTAAGTGTCTGCTTTGCAGAACGAGCCATATTTAAGGCGTCATCATCATCAGACCACTTGTGACTACCGATGCGCTAGTTTCTTAATGTTTCTTCGCTAGTTTTTTAATGTTTAATGACCGCTAGATCCACGCCTCGTTCTAGAACCGACGCAGGTATAAAAGTTCCCACGCCCTCGCAGAAGATGGCAGCGTCCGCGGCGACAGTCTGCAGGAAGCGAATGGGCTCCGTAGTGCCGCGGGCAGTGGCGATACCAGTTTCTACTCACTCAGCAGTGAGGAACGGTCTGAAGACTACTTTTAACTTTTAAAAAGCCGAAACGTGAAGCGCAGAAACACCAGGTCCTCCCTGACATCAGGGAAGTCTACCATGATATCTACTTAGAAAACCCGAGTCTGTACGATCATTTTTGTACCAGAGCTTGCTACCGATAGCTTGAGGTGGCTCAACAGACAATCTCGGTTCCAAATTAAGTAAGGAACGGGACAGTCAACTCACGAAAAAGTGCTCTTGCTTTCGACGTTGCACACGAGACTGCACTGAGTACTCTGAGTGAAATTACGGAATTCGATGGCATAAAAATTCGCTCGTACATATCATTGTGCAGTGGTGCCACTACTGGTGTCATCTATGATGTCGACGTATGATGCCGACATCATTTATGATGTGAACATTCATGATGTCGGCATTTTATTAAACCTACCATAAAAGCAGATTCCAGTTTCTATAGGCAATCTCGAGGGAAACATTTGCATTGCTCTTCAAGTTTTCATCAAAAAAATATTGCTTTTATCAGACTATGTATCGATGCTTCAATAGGCAGACATGCGATATTCAACAGAGACGTCAGGGACACACTAAAGCAAATGACATTTACAAAGATCTGTTACAAACAGATCTAAAATAGTCACTACCGTGGCTTTTGTTAGGTGTTGTGAAATGAAATTTCATAACCTAGGGGTGTTGGGAACCATAGGCTAAATTTGAGATGATTTGTCGACAAATCAATAAGACAGTTTTTTTCTCAAGAACTAAAGTGTATCTGCTTGAACGTAAAAAAAGGAAGAATTCGTCAAAAGATCTTCTTACCTATGTTGTCTTCTATTTCTTTTCGAATCCTGGCTTGAAGGCTTTCTTCTGTTGCTATTCGTAGCAGCAGCCACTGAAGTGTGCCCGTCGATGTGTTCGATCCAGCTGGGAAGCAAAATAAGTTTACACGCTAAATATTCATCATTGCCTACACGTATGAGGGCACCATTTTAGTGAAGTAGAAACTCATTGTAAATACCATACATATATACGCTTTAAAACATGGGTCGATGACGCCCGGCCTCGGTGCTACGTCAAAAAACCCCCATGCCCCCTTGCCATTTTGACTTCCCATCCCCCAACTAACCCTCAACACTTCCCGACTAACAATGAACACCTCCACAACATTACGAGTCTGTCGGTGTGCAACCTTGATGCAGCCATCTTTGTGAGCCGGCTATAATATCCAGCGTCAAGAATCGCATTGCGAAAGTTTCGTTATTTTTGTTTTATGTTATTAAATTGCCACCTTGTGACACACGTGACGAAAATGCTCACCATTTTCATTTTACTTTTGCATATCATTATTGTCAATTCACCAAATTCCCTTTGCCTGCAACGTCCTCTTCATGCCCCCGTTTTCGCCATTCAGCCCCCGTTAATGTTGACTTGATGCAACTCGGTCCTCCACCTCAAAAACTAGTCGGCCCCTGGTTTAGAACATAAGATTTAGTAGTCTGACATACTTACGGGAATGCGTGATTCATACAAGTGCAACAATAGCGAAGGCGTTTGATATAAGTTGTTATGCTGCACTTGCACCGATGACGATTGCATTAACTTAGCATTTCAAACGAATACTTGATTGTGACGGGAAATACATTTCGTGCAAAGGGCAAGGAAATATCAATACAGCTGCGCTCGACGTGAAAAAGCTGTAGGAAGTGCAGGGTAGCGTTTCACCCGCCATTCGGCAACGTTGAAGTTTACGGGGAAACGTGCAATGACGTTCCAAACGTGAACCTCGATCAACGTTCATAACGGAAAAGCAAACCTTTATTTGTGATGCAATTGCGTCGCCTGCGCTGCTTATTTTCTTCTCCTTACCCACACCTTCTTTTAGCACCCACTTCTTATGCCTTAATATACACCACTATGCTTTGCTTTACCCTCCCTATTTCTCCCTTGCTCACCACCCCATCTCTCCTATTCACCCTCACTTCCATTATGCTGCACATGGCTAGTCTATATGTTGTACTATTCATGACTGTGCTAAGTTTTACCACAGTCCCTTAATACCGTTCTGGTCACGATACTTCTCCGTCACTCTATGGGAGAGCTTGATATGGGAGAGCTTGATATGGCGGCATTCCGAAAGCGTTGTGTGGTGGCAGCTCGCGGTTTCTGCATCAGCGAAACGCGAACTTCATGTGCCAGTGCACCGTGCTCAAGGTGGACGGCATGAAAATTCGAATGAACAATGCCTAAGACGTGCTGTGTGACAGGTTGCAGCTCCGGATACCGAAGCAACAAAGAAAAGGCGTCGCTCTTCTGTTTCCCAAGTAGCGCCGAACTCCGAGAGAAATAGAAGCGAGCTATACCACGGTTGGAAGCTGGCGGTTTCAGCTTCGAAAGTAAGAACGTTCGGGAGAGCGAAAACCATTTTGATGCCAGCGACGTTGTGAGAACCGACGAGCACATCGTGAACGGGGTGGTCGTGTCGCTTCAGCGAGAGAGACCGAGGCTTCGCACGAACGCCGTTCCAAGAATTTTTGACGGGCTCCCGGCGTACCTGACAAAGCCGAAACCACGTTCACGGCCTGCGACTCAGAGGCAACCAGCGAAGAGGTGGCGCGAATTGTCACCGGAATGCGCAGCAGTGGAATGCCAAAATGTCCACACCGACTCGGCAGGAGAAGCCAGTGACGGTAAGCTCTTGAGCCGGTTTAGTCGCGGCGTTACTTTGTTCCCTCAGTCGCATGACCCTGTGTTAGCGGCTGGTGGCATTGAGGTGCTTCTGAACAGTGTTATTGAATTGTATTACAGATGCAGCAGCGAGGGATAGCGGACACGCAGATCAGGCCTGCCAAACGGAACAGGCAGTGTGTTCGTTTCTTGAAGTGCAGGCGCTAAAGGCGCAGCTTTCGAGTACGCGGCAACGACTCGAACGGTGTCAGAAGCAGCTTGCGCAGATGAGAGTCCTGGCCAACAAAAATGCAAGACTCTTGCAAAACCTGGACAAGCTATCTACCCGCGAGAAGCTTATTTACGATCAGTGCATCATCAAGGCAAACGCGAAATCTCCGAAAGCTGCCAGGTAATCTTCAGTCGCACATAACTGCCACGAAGCTATGAATATAATCGCACATCTTTTTCGTGCCACTGTCTTGTGCACATTTTTTAAGAGCAGTGCACGCTAGCATTGCATGTCAGAGTAATCCTAAATTGCCCGCTTTGCATGATCGCACAATGCAAGCTGTCTGTTGCTCTCGTACTGGAGTAGGGGTGCATGTTAATATTGAAAATGACAAGGCATTTTTGAACACGGTGGTTGTGTATTGCGGTATGAGGAAAGATGGTGTGATGCATGTCGTGCATCTTCTTTTCTCTGCTTGCTGTGGTTATGCACATGCACTGTTCACTCACCAGCCTCAGTTAACTTGAATGCACAACGAGCCTGCACTCTCTTTAGGTACAAAAAAGCATGGATTTATGACTGCCTGCTACTGAAGATTAAGTCGACAGCGGTCTATACATTCCTTCACGAGAATGAGTACCTTCCCTTGCCCAACCCTCGCACCCTCTACACGTACCTGAGGAGCCTCAAGGCTGACTTTGGTTTTGACAACAGTCTGTTCACCGTTCTCAAAGACGAGCTTCAAGTGCTTCCTGAGCGAAAGCGTCGAGGTTTGGAACAATGCACAAACTTACTACTGCATTCTATGACTTCATATCTCATATGTGGTGCATGTCTAATAAGATGTATTTTTTTACAGGTGTCCTGATGTTCGATGAAATGAGCGTAAGAAAGAGTGTGCACATTAGGGAGTCAGACATGGCTCTGCTCGGAAAAGTTAACTTCGCTGAGCACACAAGACCCTCGGACTGTGAGAAAGATGGCGATCACGTCCTTTCTTTCTCTTCACAGTGTGTCCACCTGAAATGTGCACAAAATTGTGCACATTTCAGGTGGACACACTAGCTGTTCTGCTGGACGATGTCCAGCTGGAGCCAACAACAGACTGCGTGGAGGACATTGGCCCCCTTTCAACCAAAGACTCCATTTTGGATTACCTCGGCGGATATGCGGCCGAGAAGTTTTCTACTTTGGATTGCTTAGGCTGCATCGAAACGATGTTGAGCACAACACGTCAGCCATCTGCCTTGATCCAAACAAAATCGAGGGGCTATTTGAAAGTACCTAGCAGCCGTCTTCTTGCTCTCCTGAAAATTGTTGAAGAACATGTAGAGACGTACACGGTGCAAAACATTGCATGCGGTGACGTGTACGCGAGGATTGTTGAGGGCATTTTGCTCGACAGCCGCACAGCGTCAGCAAGTGTAGGTTGTCTGTTGCACTTTTTAGGGACAACAGCTGAGGTTGTACATTTTTTTTTAGATGTAGATTACATTTCTTCACTCGAGAAAAAAACAAAGCCTCGCGGGCAACTGTGCGCAGTTCATGCCCTGCAAGTGGTGGGCGGAAGCCACAGTGTTAAGCATAATGGCTGTGTATGTGAGCACGCCTTCCCATTTGTATATAGTGTTGTATATCTTGTATACATTACACTGTAATATTTTCGTACTATTCATATTTATCTGCATGTAGTGTAAATAGTGTATATTCAAATACAGTTTATTTTAGGCAGTGAGCTAAGGCAGAGTGCAGCTGTTAATGAAACAAAATACACATTGTACAGTAGAGTCACAGATTGTGTAACATTGCTCAGAACAGCTGCAATAGTTTCTAGTGCTTTTCTTCTCCAAAGTGTTGTTCTCAGTGTATTTTGTGTAAATAAATGTTTTCCAACTTTCTCCCCATTACATGCACCATATGTGAATCTCCCATTCATAAGAACACACCTGACTACTAGGCGGTGTATCATTAGCACCAAATTTAAGATTTATTGCACGCCTTAAATCATAACCGCCCTTACCCCCCCTCCCACCCAAAAAATAAAAACGAATGTGTGATGAGGTACCTCGGTGGTGGCAGAGGCGGCCAAGCGGCTAGCACTGGCATCAAAAGGAACTTCCAGATTAGGCTGCTGTATTTCTGTTCCCGGAGAAATCATGGGTTGTCGGCCGGTAAATAATAATGCCCTAAACAGTAAACACAAGGAAACGTCAAGCGGTGGGTGTCCCGTGTAAACTGCGTGGAAAGAAGTGATCAATCAAATGTTGGGCACGTTTAGAGCGGTCGCGAAAGCCCTCGGCATCGAAAGTCCCCGCGTCAAAAAAGCGATCGGCGCTCACAAACGTGTGTCCAAAACAACTGCGCATTTGGGTATAAACTCAATTGAAAGGTCTGGAATAAAACTTCTGGCTCAACCATTCAGTTCATTTGAATACTTGGGTAGTAGCGCGCGAGAGGCGAGCCGGATATAAACCAATGTGACTGCTCCTGTACTACCCAGTCGTGTTTCATTTCGTTCACCTTCCTTCCCCTATTAGCGGCCCTACCAGAATATAAAGCTCACCTACCGCATAAACATAATCGCCCTTTGGCCGGGCGCAAATACAAACATGTTGTCGAGCAGATCAAGTAGCTGCTCGCATCAAGAGCATGGAGCATAAGCATCGTCTTTCAACACTTGCGAGCTATAGCTCGCAAGTACCGCTTCGAGGCATCGTAAGTATGCATATAATTGGGCTATGAGACAACTATTGACACAATGCGTTATCGCGCGGTGTGAGAACACTTTTAATGCGCTGCTGTTTATAAGGTGGGCCCGCACTTTCAAGTAAACTACGCGTGCGTTCCAAAGTAAACAGCTCTCATTCGTCGTCGGCACTGCATCCCGTTTCAACTTATTTATCTGGTGGCATTGATGCGTTCAGAGACGTTTAAAAAAAGGTAACAGGAAGAACAGCACGCACATAATCGCGTCGAAACGTTGGCCGCAGTGCGCATACAAGCCCAGCAGTGGCGGCGGCTTGTGGCCCCCATACGACGGGTGGCGCCTCTAGCGACAGATTTTGTCCCTATATCAACCTTCTGGCGGAGTTTCGTGACCAGAAAAGCATTGAAGGACTCTGGTTTTACCTTGCCCCGCCGCGGTGGTCTAGTGGCTAAAGTAGTCGGCTGCTGACCTGCAGGTCGCCGGATCGAATCCCGGCGGCGGCGGATGCGTTTTCGATGGAGGCGAAAATGCCCTTGTGCTCAGATTTGGGCGCGTGTTAAAGAACCCCAGGTGGTCAAAATTTCTGGAGCCCTCCACTATGGCGTCTCTCATAATCATATGGTGGTTTTGGGACGTTAAACCACACATATGAATCAATCAGCTAAGCTTTACCTTCTGACCTCTTTCATGCCCTCCTGCTAACCCTCACAGCATTCCTCCGCTTTTTTTTCTTTTCTCGCTCTCTTGCTATACGCTACTATACGTGGAGCCGGACTTTGTCACACCAGCGGTGTCCGTGCCACAGCCCCCGGCCTTTCCTACAGAAGTGAGGGAGCACGCGGTGCCCCATATTGTTTCGACCTGTTGGGAAGAGGGCCAACTTTCTGACGGCAACCCGCGTTGCCATCACGGCCTTTCTGTCGGGCTTCCCGTCCACTCGGCGCGTGTGCGTCAGTTTTCGACGCAACGTCTGGCCTCGTGACGCGCCGCCGGGCGTTGGAGAAAGCCACAGTCAACACCAACAACAAGCGTGGCAGCGCGGCAATCGTGAAGAATCGCTCCTTTGGCGACGCTGTAGCCGGTGGTTGCTGACCTACGCCGGCGATTGCCCCTCCTACGAGCGTGCCTGTCGTCGTGACGGCCACATGTCCATCAACCGAGCCGGCCCCTGCCGTCGACGCGAAGGACTTGGTGCTAGCCGTTCTTGCTGCGGTGATTTGTGCGATTCGCGCGACTCTCCCAGAGGATTCGCAGCGCACGGTTAATGTGTGGCAGCCCTGCTCCCGTATACGATGCACTCAAGCCTATGGATTAGCCCAACAAGGCCAACCAGACTTACATCGTCCGTTTGAAAATCACTTTTTTCTTCTTCCTAGTGTTCAATGGGCAAACTGCTGTGACCCCGGCTTTCTCGGCGGTCTTCTCAGTCGACAGCGCGTGGGTGTTTTTGCGCGCGTATACGTCAGTCAGATTGAATGCTTTTCATTTTTTACCCTGCTTTTACCTTTTTTTTCTTTCTGTTTCTTTCATTTGTTTTCCCCCATATCCCGCACGGTCTTGTGGAGTTGTCCTCCACAGAGAGAGACAGTGTAACGCTGCGCTTATTTCTGCCCCTTTCCATCAATGTCACTTCGGAAGCTATACGTGGCTGTGCTGTGCCTTGGTATTTCCTCGTGACGCCAGTCAAGTGACTGCGATAATAGCTGATGACATGGTACATGAGACGATATTCCAGGCCTGTAAAGGAAGCAGGAAGCAGCGAGAGTCTTTTTTTTTGACTGAGGAGCGACCTAAAGATTTTGTTTACCGAGTTGCGCGAATATAATCATCATCATCATCATCATCATCATCATCATCATCATCATCATCATCATCATCATCATCATCACCTCGTCTTCATCTCCCGCTTCACTCGCACAACACGAGCATCGATTGACCCTAGTTATGGCGTAGTGGTTATCCTGCAAGTGTGCTTGCAGCAGCTACCCAAAAAGGCGTTAAAAAGGCTCTGAAAGGCCGCTTTTTGAGCTCTTGCAGTGAAAGTGCTGCGCGTTTCGTGCAGGCCTGGAGGTTTTTAAAATAAAGTTGTTCTCTCTCTCTCTCTCTCTCTCTTAGTGTCCTAAACTAAAAGAGCTTTAGGGTAGGTGTTGTCAAGCGTTCTCAAACGCTTACCGCCAGACAAAAATAGCACCAGGGGAGTGCGAAGAACCCAATGAATTGACAGTTTGCACCTCTTAGGTACTCGCCTTATAAACCCTCCAATCCCACAGTTTCCGCGGCACAACTAAATAGTGATGTTGCATTGGAATACAGCTATTGCCACAATTAAAATTATTAGCTGCACAAGATTCTCTTAAAAATTTGTTCATCTGAGTTGAAACGTTTTGAATATGGAAAGAGAGTGGAAACCCACCAAAAACAAACTTCTTTTCGATCTTGCAAGGTTAGATGGCAACTAACGTGAGTGGAAGATTAGTGGCACGCATCTTGTCTTTTGCATTACTTGAAAACGCTGCTAAATTTCTATTTTGCCTGCGCGTAACCTCTTGCAGAATTTGGCCGATAAGGGCAATGAAGAACTTAAACGACATAATGCGAAAGTGGTGGCCTGATTACGATGTAAGGTTTCCCCGTAAAGGATGTGTGTGGAATATGATGAAGGCTTGGAGCAGCCGTTGGTTTACCGACCGTTGAAGAGGTTCACTGTAGCAAGGATCATGCTGGGTTTGGTCAGGTACTGCGCATCAGCTTTGTCCTCCTTGATGGCTTCCTCTCGGGCGGCCAGCATAGCGTGTGTGAAGTTCTCGACGCTACCTGCAGGAAGACGAAGGGAAGTTTTTTTCACAGGGAAATCTGTTATGAGATCACAACATGCATCGCGTGCGGCACCGTAGCTGTCCACCACCGCCGGTGTCCGCTGCGTGCCAGCCCAGTATTCTACCGCAGAGCCGCGCCTGTGCTGGAGACTCCGGTGCAAACTAGCCTTAGACAAGCCTAATGTCGGGTAAAAGAATTGCATTAGATGAGTAATAAAGCGTCTTAGAACAGCAAAAGAACAACTATAGGCGTCACACAATGTGAATTCCGTAATGTGTGGGTCGTCCAATGCTCCAAACCCCTACGAAAGCTTGCTGTCAATCACCCACTTCAGGCATAATTCTTCATCGTTCATAGGTGCTGTATAAAAAAAATTTAGCAAGATTCATTGCAAGTGTGCAGCGGATACCACGCTTCTCCGATGCACCAGGAAGGATAGCACACTGAATGGTAGCCTAATGCACACAAATTATGACTATTTATGACGTAGTGGGTACCCAACCAGTGTGCTTGTAGCAGTTACCCAAGGGAGCTTAAAAGGGCTCTGAAAGGCTGCTGTTCAAGCTTTCGCTGTGACTGTGCCGCGCTTTTTGTGCAGGCCTGGCAGTTTCTTCCGATATGTGACCAACGATATTGTGCAGTGGGTGGTTCTGCTCCTAACACTTGCGTGCGTGACATCGTTTCATTGGTGAGCAAAAGAGAGTTAAAAGCCGATGACGAAAACAATTGTAGGCGGAAGTACACAAGTTTTCCTATCTGGCTCGATAGAGAGACGCCAAAGATAAAAAAGTAGAGTGATATGAGCGTAAAACATGCATATTCCCTCGTTAATGTTACCACAGCCAATAAAGCTTCTCAGCTCTCAGTGCAGCTCCTACTGAAAAAAAAAAGAGAAATTTGCTTTTCTGCTGGTCGTGCCTGGTTTGATGGTCCACACAGCAATAAAAAAATTCACATGGTTCTTTATGCATTTGCCTGAGATGACTTGAAGTTGCTACATAGTGATGTCTTAATGAAGCCACGGAAGCGTCAAAAACTCAAGCAATGTTTGGCGTCATCACGAGACAATTATGCATCGCTCGTGTTCACGCCCACGACGCGGGATACATATAGTAAATTTTTGCGTTTATGGGGCACTTGAACTTCTCGCCTTATCAAGAAAATCTGAGGCATCTGTCCGCCATTACAGGCAAAACTATCACAAAAAAGTCTGCCATGCCTTGCGTTCGGTTGAAAAATTCATTAACGGAGGCTGTTTGTCAGAGAATACGTTTAGGCAAGTGGTCTTGTATAAATAAAAGTTAGAACTAAGAACACAACTTCATGACAAGGCACTTGTAAAAACGTAGGCTCGAGCAAGTAACCTGTGTTTACGGATATTTTTTTAAAATTCGCTAGCTTCCATATTCTTTTTCCTGTCATTTTTTTTTTGCCTACGGTTGCGTTTCTAGATGTTACAACGTGCTTTCCCAGCCCTAAAGAATAGCGCACACCTGGGATGTAGTTAGCCTCGGCTTTCGAGAAGAGCCTGTGAAGAATCTCCCCGAGTTCGCGGAACACCGCTGCCATCTTTTTCTCTGTCCTGAGATAAAGAATGGCCAGAAAGGGAGCGATATCGCTGGGCAGGCCGTTGGGTGAGATTTCGTAGAACCGGTGGTTGATGTTCTCCAGGCGTTCGATGTCATCTTGTTCCTCGTGCAGCCTGCGCTGGAAAGATGGCGTTAGTGTTGCGTTCGTCAAAGGAGAATCAAGCGTCAGCTGCGATATGCAGAATAAAGCGAGGAGCAACGAAAGTGAATGCGAACGAAGGGTCCCTCCGTTTCTGGCCGAATATTGCTTCCTCTTTTGCACATAGTCTTCGCAGTGGTTATTTATTTATTTATTGTTTATTTATCAAATACTGTGGACTACGTAGTCCAAGCAGGGAGGGCAAATAAAATGGTACAACAGTGAACATGTCGAAAACAAAAAGAATAAATGAAGCAAGAACACTAATACAGAAATAAAGTCCATACGTTTGGTGGAACACTATACAAAAAATTAATAATAATCAGCATTTTGGTGTCGATTCGATTACAAAATTCCATTCAGTTATTGTACGAGGGAAAAAAGAAATTTTAAATGTATTCGTTCTCGCGAAGTAGGGTGTTAATGCATCTTGTCTACGGTGACGAGTGGTTCGGGTTAATAGGGGCGACATATATAATGTTGAGTATAGAGGTGTATTGTTAGTGTAAACTAGTTTAAAAATTCCAGTGTGTGTTTCTGTCTTCTCATATCAAGTGGTTCAATATCATCATAATTATCATCATCATCATCATCATCATCATCATCATCATCATCATCATCATCAGCCTAACTACGTCCACTGCAGGACAAAGGCCTCTCCCATGTTCCGCCAGTTAACCCGGTCCTGTGCTTGCTGCTGCCAATTTATACCCGCAAACTTCTTAATCTCATCTGCCCACCTAACCTTCTTTCTCCCCCTAACCCGCTTGCCTTCTCTGGGAATCCAGTTAGTCACCCTTAATGACCAGCGGTTATCCTGTCTACGCGCTACATTCCCGGCCCATGTTCATTTCTTCTTCTTTATTTCAGCTATGATATCCTTAACCCCCATATGTTCCCTAATTCACTCTGCTCTCTTCTTGTCTCTTAAGTTTACACCTACCATTTTTCTTTCCATTGCTCGCTGCGTCGTCCTCAATTTAAGCTGAACCCTCTTTGTAAGTCTCTAGGTTTCTGCTCCATAGCTAAGTACCGGCAAAATACAGCTGTTATATACCTTCCTCTTGAGGGATAGCGGCAATCTTCCTGTCATAATTTGAGAGTGCTTGCCAAATGTGCTCCACCCCATTCTTATTCTTCTAGTTACTTCAATCTCGTGGTTCGGCTCCGTGGTTATTACCTGCCCTAAGTAGACATAGTCTTTTACAACTTGAAGTGCACTATTACCTATCTCGAAGCGCTGCTCTTTTCCGAGGTTGTTGTACATTACTTTCGTTTTCTGCAGTAATGGTTCAATGTGGTTAACATTATTAAATACTGTGGGTGAATCCTGTCTTGAGAATTTGTTAAATATAAATCTAACTGCCTTTACCTGCACTCACTCGAGTTTATTGATATTAGTTTTTGTATACGGATCCCAAGCAATACATGCATATTCTAGTTTGGTTCTGATTAAGGTGTTATAGCATAGGAGTTTTACGTCTGGAAGGTGCATTTTAAAGTTTGTGGTTCAGGAGGCATAATTTTGTGAAGGCTGAGGAGCAAGTTTTACTGATGTGGTCATTCCATGTTAACGCGTTGTTAAAGGTGACTCCTGGATACTTGTATTGGGTTACTTCATTCAGGGGGATGAACCTAATTATACGTATGAAGCAATCTCCTATCTCCGTGTCAATGTTTCTAATTCTTCCCGTCATTAGAAAAAAAGTAACATCTTAGGCGCAAGGGCGAATAAACGAATGCGACTGCAAAAAAAAAAAAATGAAATGGTATAGAAAAGTGAGCTTAGCCACTTGAGCTTCACATTGAGCTTAGCCACTCAATGTGAATTGTAATGAACTGAAATGAACAAGTTCTATGGGGGTGTTCCAAAATAAGGACGGAGTTTTCAGTATGCTTTAGAGAGCAGCAATTTATTTCGTGAATGGAAAGATTAACAAAGTGGTGACCAGTTCAAACATGTTAAACGATTTTCCGGTTAACTTAAGTTGAAATTACTGGTTGTTAGATCCTAAACCGACCACGCGCAGCTTTACTGCACGCTTGCTTTATAGTAGAGCTGTGATGGCTTTGCTTCTGGATTTTGTAAATATCGTATACAGAAAAATAAAACAAAATTATACGCATTCGATAAAGCGTCACTCGAAACAAACTTTTTCTTTTGATATTCAAGTAATATTTTCTGCGAGAAATGTCCCGTACTGGCACAACTGCGGCATTTAAAGAGCCTTGCATTGCTTGAGATTCTCTACACTGACCACTATTAATAAAAATTATCTTTAGATGTTTCGACTAGCGTTGTACTCAGTTACGTTAAGACGTACATGGCAGTGGATCCTCCTTTCACAGTAAGAATGCATCTCATCCACCACGGCGACTCTCTATTCCAGATATTTCGACTTCGATTCCGGGATTAACTTGTAAGAACGATGTTCTTATTACTGCAATAAAGTAATTAACTTCAACACATCTTTATACCAAACTTGAAGGCTGTTTTCACGTGTACACCGACGGATCATATCTGAATCAAGGCACTACGTCTGCAATCTTCATACCTGCATACCAAGAGGAAAAAGTGAAATGGCTGAGCTCTTAAGCTCGACAATTTCATAACATCCACTATGACAGAGGTTTATGCAATACTCTGTGCTTTGCGCTTCATATGTTCACAGTCAGGTCATCTTTGATGGGTACTTTTCAGTGACTCACATTCCTCATTAGCTTGTTTGAAAGGAATCAGCTTAGGGAACAAACCTAGCGTGCTCGCATATGAAATACAACCACACCGTATTGTTCCAGTGCGTACCAAGCCACTGCGATATCGTGGGAAACGGCATAGATGATGGCGTGGCACACGCAGCGCAGCAGGACTCCTACCTCTACCGATGAGCAATGCGCGATGTTTATTAATAAGCTGAGTCAATTATCCAAGAAAAGTTGGTTCGAGACAGGTGCGTGATACTCCCAGTTATCTATAGCATCAATCCCGGCGTATAATTTGATATTCCGTTAAAGGTTCGCCGATCTGTAGAAACAGCCATCCATAGGCTTCGACATGACATGGCCTACAAGAAGGCCTTCCTGTATAAAATAAGAAAAGCTGTCACTCCAACCTGCTCAAGTGGAAAACCTGATGAAGACGTTAACCACGTTCTTCTACATTGTAAAAATTGTGATGGACGTCGAAATAAACCTTTACAGAAACTAAAACACACTGAATCTTTGGCAGGCGAGTTTCGGCGTGCATGATGGAACTTTTGTCGACACGGCCTCATCAAGTGTGAAGCCCACGAGACGGCCTTGTGGGTACCAAGTACTCTAAATTGTTTACTTTTTTAAAACACACAATGCGTCTGTACAATAAGTTAGGTACAGCTTACTGCTCTCCCATAGTTACCTACAAAGTACTCGAAATCTTTACACTTTTTTTGAACAATTTGTTGGATATGTGACCTCCATCAACAGCGGAATTCTGGGTCCATGGCGAAAAGAAAACCTTCGAGCCACTACTGCGCGTGCAGCAGTTCACTTTCTGGATGTATCAGAGATAGCAAAATAGTAATGAACGAAAAACGAAAACGTGTTCGCGTTATTGTTAACCGGTATGTTTCATTAAACCATTCTTGTGTTTACATTTGGGCAGAGAAATCCTTGTGAAAATCTTTGTGAAAACAGTGAGGTATTTAGAGACTGTTCCCGAGAGACACGATCACCTTTGACAACATTTTAGTGAACTTTCATGTTTCGTGTAGACATTTCAATAGCGGGATTACTGGCGTTTGTCTGAATTATGTGTGCTGTGGACCCATTTCTCTGTTGAAAAACTCAGGCTCAGTGCGTAAGTGTTGTGATATGTACCTATGTATAGACTTGTCTTTGTTATCTGATATGTGATGTTGACTGTTGCGCAAGAGAAGGGGAGATAATCGGCACCACGCATTGGCACTAACCTCTTCTTATCTACCCTTATATATACTTTATAAAAATGCAGAGTAGTATTTGTTTTCTTGTTTTTCAATTGGGCTCGCGAGCAAATACAGTATAAGAAACAAGAATGCATTACCTTCTACCGTATATAGATACTCCTATGACCTTGCAGAACAATGAGAAGAGAGGTTTCCTGAAGTCCATGACCTGTGGCCCTTCTTCTAAGGAATCCACAAAGGCGTCCACAATGTCGGCACAAAGATGTTCCAGAGACTCACTGACCGCGTACTTTCTGCAATTCATTAATAATCAGTGTGTTGTTAAAAGTCCTTAAAAACACTGGAAAAAACAAAGAAACATCACTATTCTAGTACAAGAGAGAGCTTATACACAACGAATAATTCCTATTTTGCCATATTTTCATATTGTGTTTGCTGCACGCACACACACTCACGCACTCACGCACCCTCACGCACACACACACTCATGCACACACTCACGCACACACACACTCACGCGCTCACGCAGATGCACACACGCACGCACGCACGCACTCACACACGCACACACACACACGCACACACTAGGATACCGTAAGGCCAGAGGGATTGCGTGGCACGGGCAACGCAGTGATTCGCTTAGCAATCGCACACTTGTAGAGCCGGCGGTGCCCTCTCTTGCGCAACACTGGTCTAAGCCGAATGTTTAGAAGTATTTTTCGCGAGTTTAGGTCATGATGGGGATTACTCTTTGGTAATTTAGGTAGGCGATATTATTTTAGAAGTTGTTAGTTTATGCGGCACTAGTTTAGAGTATTGTTTCGGTCTTTTAGGCCGGTACTAATATCTGCGCGATGGACGACAAGCCAGGCCCTGAAGGGCCGCGCATTTAACAAGCAATCTTTTTTAAGCAATCAATTTAACAAGCCGCGCATTTAACAAGCCACGCTTTTACGAGCAATCTTCATAAGGCTTGAGAAATCCTTTCATTGCATCACAAATCGACTGCCTCAAAAATTATTAGGTGCGGAGCCATTTAGGGGCCAGGCTTGTTGGCGTCTCCTGTCGTCACGGTTCGTCACAATTAACGGGTACTTGCCACAATGGGTAAATCCAACTACCCGCAATGGGGCCCCCAAAAATGAAGAAAACAGCAGTGAAGCGAAGAAATAGCCGATGACGTTAGTAGAATGGAAACACCCTTTTCTGCATCTGGCATGCAGGAGGAGGAAGAGGCACCTTAGGAGGTGAGCTGCGCACCGACGCAGTTTTTCGACAACGTTGGTCAAGCAGAAACATCATTCCCTACACGCACGGGTATACAGGCTTCGCAGGACTAGGGCCTCATCACTAAAATCTCTCTCAAAACACTGCTATGCTTCGTCTATCTCCGGTTTTCCGTTAGTGCCGCCGAAACACTCTTCCTTACGTGTTTTGCCTCTCTCCGGTTTTTTTTTATTATTCGTCGAGTATGAGTGAAACAACGAAGATTTCTAGCACGCTTCACGAGCTTTCGTTATTCTCTCTTACCGACGAGTGGACTAGGGTTTCACGTCTATATCTAATATCTAGGGTTTCACGTCTTAAAACCACAATATGATCATAAGAGACGCCGTAGTGGAGGGCTCCCAAAATTTAGACCATCGGATGTTCTTTAACATGCACCGACATCGGGCAGTCCGTTGTCCCTTACCACCATCGAAATGCGATCGGCGTGAACGGGATCGAAGCAGCGACCTCCGGCTCAGCAGCCGAGCACCGTATCCCATGTTCTACAGAGGCAAACAGCGGACTGGAAGCTAAGCAGGTAGGAATGGCACGAGTGAAATAAGTTATGTAACACGTGTTATGATCTTTAGTACTTTTTTTTTCGAACGCACGACTTACTTTCATTGATTGATTGATATGTGGGGTTTGACGTCCCAAAACCACCATATGATTATGAGAGACGCTGTAGTGGAGGGCTCCGAAGTTTTCGACCACCTGGTGTTCTTTAACGCGCACCCAAATCTGAGCACACGGGCCGACATTTCCGCCTCCATCGGGAATGCAGCCGCCGCAGCCGGGATTCGATCCCGCGACCTGCGGGTCAGCAGCCGAGTACCTTAGCCACTAGACCACCGCGGCGGCGCGCACGACTTACTTTCAGTGGCACCAAGAGTGAGAACTCGGGCATGTCGTGCCATCACGTGGTGGTCACGGTAATGATGTAGCTCACGGCGTTCAAAGCAGCCAATGGCCGTGCAATTCGGCTTTATGGCATCACTTGTCGAGAGGAAGCGATTTACAGCTGACACTGAGAAATAATTGTGAATTCCATGAACCGTGCTGTGCTGTAATCTTCGGCTCACATGCTGTCGGGGATTCTCGACTATCGATCGATACCCTTTTGTGGACCTTGTTCACAAAGTGTTGCGGAGATTATTCAAAAGATACAGATCACAAAAGGGGAATATATTACATTATCTGTACAAAGTAGGAGTGGTCCGCCACGGCGTTGCACTGTTACGGTCATAGAGTTTCTAATATACACTAGAGGGAACTCTGGCGCTATATATACCCTATAGCTTCCATATACCCTATAGGGTATATGCGAGCAGCAACGCACGGCGCTTCAGCGAGCATGGGAATGATTGGTAGTACACACATTTGTCTAACTTTTGTACTTCTGGTCCTGCTTCTGGCTCCGTGTGTGTTCGTGTGGCTTAGAGCAGCTTTTTCACGAAAAAATAAATTAGCAACTGTTCAGCGTTTGCGCTTCTCACCACCGTATTCGTTTAAACTTACCTTTCCAAATCAGGTCACGAAGTTTGAAAGGGTTGAATATTTCTTTCAAAACAAAATCGTAACCGGCAATAAACGAAGCCGCAAGTACGATTGGCCACCCGCAAGTACGAAGACTAGACCAATGTGTGTACTACCCATCATTCCCATGGTCGCTGAATGATCGCAGCGCCAGAGTTCCCTTTAGTTAATTTTAGAAAACTCTATGGTTGCGGTGCTTGGTTTCTGATTTGAAGGCCACACGGTCGATCCCGGCGGCGATTGTCGTGTTTTAATGGAGACGAAATGCTGGAGGATCGTGAACTGATTGATTGATTGATTGATTTGTGGGGTTTAACGTCCCAAAACCACCATATGATTATGAGAGACGCCGTAGTGGAGGGCTCCGGAAATTTAGACCACCTGGGGTTCTTTAACGTGCACCCAAATCTGAGCACACGGGCCTACAACATTTCCGCCTCCATCGGAAATGCAGCCGCCGCTGCCGGGATTCGAACCCGCGACCTGCGGGTCAGCAGCCGAGTACCTTAGCAACTAGACCACCACGGCGGGGCCAGGCTCGTGAACTGTCAGTGCACCTTAAAGAGCAGTAGACTGTTTAAACTTTTGCAGCCTTTTAGTGCGGCTTATTTTGTGATCATATTAAAAAGCTTTCGCACTCAAAGCACCACAAATTATATTCAAGGTAGTGGTAGGCAAAAAATTATATTTGAGGCGAATAAAATACATTTCGGACAGTATAAAAAGCAAATTGAAATGAATATTCACTCATAATGAAATAATGTTCGATTATTAAACATCGTTTTTAACAGCGGGACTGTTTGAAATGGAGCTGCACTGTGTAGACTGTCAAGGTTTATCTCCTCACTATGTCTGCGAAAATATTTTTTTTCGCTTTTCTACAAACGTCGCAATTGTGCGCAGTCCACATGAGTAGATATTGTCACGTGGTTGTGACCTTGAAGAAGACAGTGTTCGGAACGTTCTAAACTAAACAAGCTATACGCACTGTACGACGATAGCGACGAACAGGTAGTCAGCTGTCGGTAATCTGATCTGTGATTAGGTGTGTCGGCATTTGTAGATGCGGCATCGAAAATTCGGGTCCTATTGCTGGTGACCTTGCTGGTTACAAATCAGCTGAAGCCAAGATGTCTGACTACCTTGTAGAGACCAAAACATCATTGAAGCAATTTTTCACCAACTTCACGCTATGTATCGGTGTTAAGGCCCAAACAAGATCTCCGGGTAGGCTCTCCACGTTGCATCGTCAAAAATTGTAGCGACTGCTGTCGAACACCCGCTGGTTCTCAATATGGAGGCGGGCGAGCTGTCATCACTTTTCGGCACGCTAGAAGAAAGTAGCAACGTCAACAGTTTCTTCGTCAGGGAGGTTCGGCAGCATGGCGTCGAGTGTCGCGGCTGGACACAATCCATAGACCAACTTAAATGGCGTCATCAGCGTTGTTTCTTGCACGGTGTTGTTATAAGTGAAAGTCACGTATGGAAGAATAGCATTGAACGTCTTGTGTTAGATGTAGACCTGCGTGGCCAGCTTGTCTACGACAGTCATATTTAGGCACTAAGGTAAGATATTGTTCTTTGGGTGGTAGACTGCGCTCCGTCGGTGGCTTGTTTGGCTGTATCTGAAGATCATTAGAGTGAGGCGAGTAGTATAGACCATGCCTCTGTCGGTGATGATAATCTCTGGGACACCATGATGTGGGACAATCTTCTCAACGAAGAACGTGGCTGCCTTGTGGGCAGTGCCTTGGGGCGGGGCCTTTGTCTCGGCGCAGCGAGTGATGTAGTCGGTTGCTACGACGATGCATTTACTTCCGGAAGGCAGCAACAGGAACCACCCCGTAACTTTATCCCAGTTTGCTGGAACGGCTGGCGGGGTAGTTCGATGAGCTACAGAGGTCCGGCTGGCCTAGTGGGTGGTGTATTATGTCAGTGACAATCTCGGCATGGCCTTACGTAATTGGTTTTGTCTGTCTGTCCGAAAATATCGAAGGTCCTGAGGAGTTTAAGCCACCAAGGTGTCCATGGAGGGCATCCTAGCCGCTGCTAGTGAAGGCGACGCCCGAGTCCGGGCGGGTAGAACTTTTAAAGACGATAGCCTTTCTTGGGGACCTTCGACGAAAAAAAAATTTGTCTGTCCGCCCTTAGCTGTACCCTATAACGGCACCAAAGTGGCCAAACGATACTCCGAACGGCTGACCCCATCCGCAGCACCCAACAATATTGCTCACGATTCAGCGTTCCTACTTGTGCGATTGTCAATTAAAAAGCAAATATTGCGCATTCCTGAGGCATCATAACAGCACGTCAATATTCTGTATGTGAGTCTCTTACTAGAAAAGACATACATAGATAATTCTAAGGAACGCAGTGTTTATCACGTTGCACTGACCATGACAGGCTTGCACCAAAAGGCAAGTGTTCCTAACGCTTTGCTAAGACGACACGGTGGTAGCACCTGCACGTCGCCTTGCGCTCTATACCTTATCACCTCCGAGACGGGCGCGCAGGGCACGCGCTTCGTTTTCCAAGATAACTGCGAGATAGCGCTCATGTGTCAGGTATTACGCGACTTGACGCGCTCAGTTCGCCATCGCTGCATGCTCGAGGCACTCTAACGCAGCGCCTCCAGAATACCACTCATCGATTTTCTTGCACAGAACATCAAATAAACGTTTTGGTCACTCTCTTCAGACGCAAGACTGTCGTCTTTCAACGACATTTGCAATGTAACATGCAGATACGAGGCCAATATTTTTCTTATATACTCGCTAGCGTGCGGGAAAATCCAAGCTGTCCAGCTGTCGGGTCGTTGTGTAAAGTCTCTAGAAACTCTGGACGGAATGCTAAAGGTATAACGAGCACGTAGTTGGCTCGAAGAGGCGAAAAGTTCTTCAGAAGAACGCCGTCCGTCAGAGAAAAACGATTCCAGTCCTCGATTGAATACCTTTGAAATAACAATGGTCTTGCCGTTGAGGTGTTCCACCATGCTTTTGAAGTACGGGTCGGCTCACTGTCGATCGGCCATGTCATCGGCACTTAAGGTTCCCAAGAAACAGTCATCATCCTGGTTTTCTGCTATGGTGGGAAAACAGGCACAAATGACTGGCAGTCGGCATGAGAGTGCTTCCGTCCGGACGATGGCAATGACATATTTCTGAAGTCGCGCACTCGTTGGTGCGAGGTGACATGTAATGAAATTACACCGTGTAAGCATTAAAAATACAAAATCTGTGTGATAACAATTCAGCCCTATGTGATAAGACATCATCAGCAAACAACCTGATGGGAGAAGCGACAGACAGACAGACAGACAGACGGACAGACGGACAGACGGACAGACGGACGGACAGACAGACGGACAGACAGACAGACAGACGGACAGACGGACAGACGGACAGACAGACAGACAGACAGACGGACGGACGGACAGACAGACAGACAGACGGACGGACGGACGGACGGACGGACGGACGGACGGACGGACGGACGGACAGACAGACAGACAGACAGATAGATAGACAGATAGATAGACAGATAGATAGACAGATAGATAGACAGATAGATAGATAGATAGATAGATAGATAGATAGATAGATAGATAGATAGATAGATAGATAGATAGATAGATAATGACCGGATGGCGTAAATGATAACCTTATATATTCCATCAGTACTGCACATGCGTGGTTTGGAGCCCAAAGCCATTTGCGTTGGCGTGAATTTCCGTATCGGCGTATTCGTCGAAGTGCGCAAATATTGGAGGCGTCTGCAGGCATTGTTTCATTGTTTCAGTTCTGGAAATGCTTCCACTCGTGGGATTTTCCACTTGAATTCCACGACGGATTTCGTAAGGTGAGAGAGAGTCAGTGGCTCAGCGATCTGTGAAAATTCCTCGACGAAGCGTCTGTAATAGGCTCATAAACCTAGAAATCGGCGTACAGCCTTTTTGTCGGAAGGTGACGGGAAGGAAGCGTTGGCCGCTGTTTTCCGTGGGTCGGGGGGCCACATCTGGACGAACTCCGGACTTGATGATTACGCGGCCCAAGAACAAGAGCTTCACCTTTACGAAGCGATACTTTACTGGTTTCAGGGCGAGACCAAAAGTATTAATTGCTTGAAGTATCACTTCAAGGTGACAGAGGGGCTTGTAAAGGTTGAGGCACACAACGATCTTTCCAAATATAACGTGTAGGAAGTCGCAGGTGCTGAGTCAAGGCCAAAGGGCGATACAGTGAACTTGAAGAAGTCGTCTAGTGACCGTCTCAAACCTATCAGATGATTCTAAAGTAATCTGGAAAGTTCCTTGACATGTGGGCACTGCTGGTGAAATGCAATGTTTTAGCATACATGTTACAGACTAGCTACGTAGAAATAAAACTGAAGTATGCGTGACAATAATCGTTCATTATGAAAGAAATATTTCGATTTCAGATTGGCACATGTTCCGTTTCAACACCAAAATAAGAAGAATCGCATGGGACAGCATTCGATGCTATATTCGAAATCACGAAATATTAGCACACTACTGCGTCATGTTCCCTAATTTTCATGCTATCATGACTGCAGTGATACCATGGTATCATGACTCTACTTTCCAACAAGCAACGGCTTTCTGCGTATGATTCTTTATACATATGAGAAGAGAATCGATGCTTTTTAAAAAAAATATTAAGTAGGGCATTTTTAAGAAATACAAAATGCACCACAAGGTCTGAACTAAATCAAACAGGCCATACTTGCCTCACCGCTGACAAAGCCACTTTCCGAAGAGCCTTCCAGTGGGGGTTGTAATCCTCGAACACGATATCGTGGTTGCCTTGGTTTTGCAACACAGCTGCAATAGGCATTTCAGGCGATTGAACTGGCGCGATGAGTCAATAACGTAACAACACGCTCACACCTCTTCACTAACACGAGCGTCTCCACTCATCACTGCAGGATTAGAAAATAAACCGAAGCGTCTATGAACGTAACTACTCTTCTACCACGTTTTTTAGCAATTATTTCGAGTTGTTGAATTTGAAATGGCTGGCCCTATAAATACTACTTTCCGTTTTCCCCTAACAATACATAAATTCTGACTGAATAAGAATGTTATCGATAAACACGTAAATAGAAAGGAAACTCAATAATCTGGCTACTGAGCGACCGGAACACTTGAGCCATATATCTGATAGAGTCAAGAAGCGTTAGCAAGAATATTGAAATATTTTTTATTAACTTCAAGCCAATTTACAATTGTAAATTTACATTTTGGAGCTCACGTTGTCTCCTTAAATTGGTGCTTACGAAAATTTGCCTAGAAGGACGTAAGTGCGTAACGAACTTGACTCTCAGATCATGACATGAATGCAACTCGCCACACCGCAGCGTGAGCTTCCTGACGTCATTGCTCTGACGTCAGTGTCCATATTACGTCAGACCATGAGCTACTCTCTACGCACTATTGGACTCGTAGTGTGTCGCAAGTCCATGATACGCGCACAGCCACTCAACTAGAACAAAGGTATTCACACTCATCAGTACGCTTGGCTGAAAGCCAGAAATACGGCATACTCTAAGAAAGAAACACGTGTCATTTGCCTTATTTCAGTTAGTCCTGGCTTGGCACGTATATGAATCTCTTATAGGCACAGTAACGCTCTTGTTGGAGTCATTGGACTCTTTTCAATAGTCCTGACTTGCAACATATATGACTTAAAGAGGCACGTCTGCTATCGTTGGGGGTGGGTGGGCCATTGTACTCTCTCATGGGAATCATGTGACCCACAAAAGAGTTAACGTGTCTCTTTAAAGAGTAGTATGTGTGGAAAATCTGGACAACCCGAAAAGAGTCAAACGACTCTCAGAAACGAGTTAACGTGCCTCTTTTACGGACAGCTCAAGGACTCATATACGGGACAGCTCAAGACTATTCGAAATGAGTCAAATTAATGCTTTTTTTTAGAGTGTATGTGCTCTAGCTCAATGAGTGCTTCGCACGAAACCGATTCTATAATCCTGGGATATGCCACATGTTCTTTTCTTGGTTAGTTTCATTATTATGTCTTTACTTCATGCTTTCGAACCAGAACTAACATTGCACATGATGAAGTCCACTGGCTTGTTTAAATAGAGCTGAAACATTGTAGATTTCAGATCAAAGCAATGTTATGAAAGAAAGAAAACAGGAATAAAACAACTTACCGTTTTGGGCGCATTTGTATGCCACACCGAGGCTTCGCAGCGAAAAAAAAAACACTACAAGGAAAGGCACTAAGCCTCTTGGGTGTGACGCCTTTGTTTGCCCGTGTTTTTTGGTTTTCTGTGTTTAATTAAACCTCGGTGAGACGTACCAACACGCCCAGAAACCAACATCACTAAGAGCTTGTTTTATATAGACTAAACGATTGCGAAGTTACGTGAACGAAATGACTCATCGCCGCGACTTTTTACAACGTAAGACTAGGGCAAGAATCATGTTAACCAATGACAAATTTACAGAAGTCGACTGCAGCAGTTCAATTCGTGGCTTAACACGCCATGTGTGACTCTGTTTGCTCTCTTTGCATGCTTACCTGTTCTAGTCGGAAAGCGGCCGGCGAAATCATGTCGCCTCTCCACCAGTGCTTCCCGAATAACAGCGTAGCTGTTCAGCATCACCATAGGCCTGTGGGCCATCCACAAGGTGAAGACGTCGCCGTACGTCTTCGACAATTCGGTTGACTTTGCGTGCAGGTCGGTCACGTTGCGCAAGGCTGCATAAAGCAGTAGTAAGATATAAAATCACATTTACATACAATTACTTTCCAATGACATCCCTTATACGCCTCTTTGCTTTATTGTCTGTTAGCTCTTTTTAGCACTGTGTTTATCAAAGAAAAGAAGTCCTTAATGTTACACTTCTATTTTTTTCTTTTTAATTAGAGTCACTCACAAGCCACAGCTAATTAATCTAACTAGACAGACAAGTCGATATAAATGATTAGCTCCAGGTATATAAAAGAATTTTCTTCGCAGTGAGCTCCCTGAAAAAGCACACAAGCTTGTGCATACTCGAGACACAGTTAAACTGTGACACATAAACGGTCGCTTTATGAAACAGCATCATCAGTGCCTCGATTGACGAAATTGAACGGGATTATGCCACGGTGGCCTCGAAAGCAATAGACAATGTATTATGACATAAATGTGTGCATTTGTTTCATAAACTCTTGCTTTGTTAATACTTACTCCTTATTCAGGTGCATACAAGTTTAATAACCAGTTGATAACAATATTCCGCGTCCACACCTCCCTGGGGCTGGCTGCCTCGACCAGCCACAATTATGTCTTGCAATGCTGGTAAAAATGAAGCAGTTTTAACACACAAAAAATGTTATAAATGAGGCTGCTATTATTGCATTAGACCTACTTGGACTCAAAGAGATATATACTGGTGAGTCGGCCTCATACACCAGCCTATTGAGTCTATTTGTGATTAAAGCCATGGTATACACAATGGCGTCGCATGCGACATCTCGTGGCATGCGACGACATTTGCAATGTGACAGCTAGCTCTTATGAGTCCTGCTCTACATACACAGTGACTAGACTGACTACGAAAATTGCTCATGTCCCGCAACACAAGGACATCAGCTTTCAGTGACTGCTTCAGTGATAATGCCATTGGAGGCGTGGACTGAAGCAACTCAAATTATGTGCTATTGAGCGGTGACAGAAGAGCGTGGTTTTGCGGATACATCGTTCATGTTGCCTATCGGAAGCTCTTGCTCAAAGTCAGATTAGGGCCCTGGGTATTTCAAACGTGGACAGGCTTCAGTAAGCGTATTCTGTAGATAAGAGTCGACCTCAAGACAGGCATACTACGTTTGTACAAGACTCGTCTTCAATTTTTTTGAGCATGCTTGCATAATAGTCTCGCTTCTATTTCTTCTAATCCCTGATTTTGTGATGTCGGATACACTCACGTTGAATAGAACAACACAAGTTGTTACATTCATGCGCTCGAAGACACTCACCCAGCATGTTACCCACAAGGGGAAGTGGGAAGGGTCCCTTCGGGTACCTGGACACATGGTGGTAGAAGCGACCCAACAGGTACGTCACTATGAAGACCAACGCGGTTGTGACCCATCGCCAATCCATAAGGGAGGATAAGCACCAGGTAGTGGTCATGTCTGCGTTTCTAGAAAGTATTTCTCTGTTCATTTTTTTTTCGTTGAACGCACGCAGAAAGCCAAGCCACTCACGTTAGGCAGTAGCATGTAAACAAAAAGCCTCAGCGAACCTCTTCGTAAGATGGCGAACGCTAACCACGTACTTAAAATATTGGCAGCTCCCACACATAGTAGGAATCGATGATATGCGAAGCACAATTGAGGAAGGTTGATATGTCACTTTAAAATCAGCACAACGTTACGAAGCCTACATAAATTATGCCATACATGTATTATATGCCAGATTATCATGTTTGAACGTGTCATTTACCTTCGTCGTCTATTCACGTTAAGTGATACCAAATTTGGTACATGTGGAGCTAGGGAAACGGCCGAGAGTGCTCTATGAGCGTAGCATGTAGTCATGTTTTACATGACACGCATGTCATAATTACCATGTTAGGGCATGTCATTTACCTTCGTCGTCTATTCACGTCACGTGATACGAAATTTGGTAACTGTGGAGCAAGGAAATGGCCGCGAGCGTGCCATGAGCGTAGTATGTAGTGAAGCTTTACATGACACGCATGTCATGATTATCATGTTTGGACGTGTCATTTACTTTCGTCGTCCATTCGCGTCACGCAATACCGAATTTGGCACATGTGGAGCTAGCTAAACGGCCGCAAGCATGCTATGAGCGTAGCATGTAGTCATGTTCGACATGACACGCATGTTATGATTATCATGTTTGGACGTGCAATTTACCTTTGCCTGCCCATTCACGTCACGTATTACCAAATTAGGTATACATAAAACTAGTGAAACGGCCATGAGCTCATCATGAGAGTTGTATGTTAACATGATAATACATGACACGCATGTCATGATTATTATGTTTACACGAGATACCTTCGTCATCTATTGACGTCATGTAACACCAAATTTGTTATATGTGAAGCTAGCGAAACAACCGTGAGCGCACTATGAGTGTAGCATGTAGTCATGTTTTACATGACATGCATGTCATGATTATTATGTTTGGACGTGTCATTTACCTTCGTCGCACGTTTCACATCACGTAATACCAAATTTGATATAGCCCCGTCGCGGTGGTCTAGTGGCTAAGGTACTCGGCTGCTGACCCGCAGGTCACGGGATCGAATCGCGGCAGCGGCGGCTGCATTTCCGATGGAGGCGGAAATGTTGTAGGCCCGTGTGTTCAGATTTGGGTGCACGTTAAAGAACCCCAGGTGGTCGAAATTTTCGGAGCCCTCCACTACGGCGTCTCTTATAATCATAAGGTGGTTTTGGGACGTTAAACCCCATATATCAATCAATCAATCAAATTTGGTATACGTAATGCAAGCGAAATGGCTAGTGAGCACGTCATGAGCGTGGGATGTAGTCATGTTCTTACATTGACACACATATCAATATTTTGAAGTTTGCACCAGGCATATACCTTCGTCATCCATTCGCTGTGAAATTTGTTATAAGTGAAGCTGGGGAAACGACCGTGAGCGTACCTTGAGCATGATGTGTAGTCATGACTTACATGACATGCACGTCATGATTTCCACGTTAGGGTCTGTCCCTTATGGTCGCCATGCAGTCATGCCACACCATGGCAGTTTTGCAATATGTCATGTAAACTAAACCACCGCAAGCGGAGCAAGATTATGAAATGTAAATTATGACATTCATGACACAAATGTGATGCTTTTCGTGATATGACTAGTCAGTTATGCTCGCTCTACGCTCATGTTATGCCATACCGAATTAGGTTTCGATACCATTATCGAAACGGTTAGGAGAGATAAAAGTCGTAGGTGGCTAGATAGATAAACAGGTACGCTCAAGGTCACCGAAGTTTGCTAAAAAATGCTTCGCATTTTAAAGCAGAAGCAACGTCGTAGAGCCGCCTAGCGAGAAGAAACATCCAAAAAAGGAGGTTTATATCACTTTTTCTTTTGAGCCGCCGTCGTGATAGAAACCTCCTTTCATTATTTCATAAATACGTACACGAAACTAGGCCATTACCTATAACATTGCAGACATCTGCATTCACATCAAAGAGACTGAATAATCATCTTTCATTCACACGCATGTACGGTAAAACATACATTTTTAACTCATCTGCACTGCCCCGTGTCATCCGCATGTGGAACAGCTTTCCAGATGAAATCGTAGGTGAACGCAGTCGAGATAAATTCCGGCACTTTCTGATCACCTATTTTCGGCATTGACTGCTCGGTTTATCCATATCAAGATCTGCACCGACGCGTTTATTCACTGCTAGTTTCTCGCTTTTTCTCCTCCTATTTCAAACTTTTTAGAAGGTTTGAATACTAACATGCCATTCAGTTCTGTTTATGTCATCTTGAGCGATGTTTTTTTTTTTTTGAATAATGGAAAGTCTTTACAAAACTTGTGTTTACTTTTTGTAGCTTGTTTTACATCATTATCTCACATGTGTACTCATCTGCTTTTCATTGCCATTATATGCTATTAAAATTATTTTTCTATTTTTTCATTGTTATTGCTATTAGGACTTGTATAATAATGGACAATTATTTTATGTTATTGTTTGTATGCAAGTTGTGCAAATCCGTGTATCTATTCTTTTTATGCTCTCCTTACACAATGCCCTGTTGGGTCTGTAAGGTATTTGGAATAAATAAATAAATAAATAAATAAATAAATAAATAAATAAATAAATAAATAAATAAAAAGATCAATAAATAAATGAAAAATAATAACATAACCAACGTGATAGCGAAACAGTGGTATGTGTACATTTTACGAATAAGGCAATCCATGATAAGCCGCTGAGAGCACGTATATCGAATATTCAAACTAATGTAAGCGCGCTCGTTTTGTTCTGATCTCCAATTGCCGTTACACTGCTGAAAAGTCTGGCTCGTGTCTCGAATAATTGTGACGTTGACATTATTCTAATTTAAGCAGAATACGTACCTAAAGCATGGAAAACCGGAAAGTGACACATTAGAGAACTGAAATAACCAGGACGAGAAACGTTTTCCAAATCATGTCACGTCTGGGAAGAAAGTGGTAAGGACACCACTACAAGATGTTTAGTGGCATATAAAGACGTCATTAAATAGCTCACTTTGTAGAAATTCATTAGCGGCGTCGCTGGTTCTCAGTGAAAAATAGGTGTTGTTCGTCAGCGAGAGATCTAAGAGTTACACCAACTCCCGCAGAAGGGAACCATGTGTGGATGCGAATCAGCGGGGAAATGGCTCGCTTGAGCGGGAAAAGGTGTAGGTTTTTGAGAAGCTTGTGCTGGCGCTAACACTGAAACTCGTACCAGCGTCGACGCTGGTGCTCATCGCGGCGTTTCGCAGGAGATATACCTGGGGAGGCGCAAAGCACGCTGTGATGAATGGTGTTTCCCACTGGAACATGCTAATCACTGCTAATGGGCAACGAGAGACAGAAGACGCTGATTGGACGCAGATATCCCAGTTTGATTGTTCGAAAATGTGCAGGTGATACCTCCCATGCACTGGCACTACCTTGGAGATGAAGATCCAGTGCCTCGGCTGTGCAGCGCGGCACTACCTTGCAGGTGAAGATACAGTGCCTCTATATATGGGGCAGCCACTGAACGGCTGTGCAGCACGTACACCCAGTTTTTTTTTCAATCAAGCAATTGACTAGCAGACGCTGCCTACGTCACGAGGCGAGAGCGGAGGAGTGTAAGAGAAGATGAGAGAGGGGAGAGGATGTGCATGCGCAGTCGGGGGTAGACACCGCCGGACAGAGGAATATAAACCCGATCATATATGCTTCGCATCTAATAAGTTTGAGCGAGAATCCAACCAAGGCTATCTGTGAGCCAAGGAACTGTGTACCATATAACCATGCCCATGCTTAAAATTGCTTCGGAAGAAAAAAAATCACTATATGAGTGTGCACTTGATGTAGAGGGAGGAATTTTCTTAACGCATGTAATATTGCGTAGCAGTGTCTTAAAAGCCCACGTAATACAAGTCGTCCCTACATAAGCATACAGCTAGAGTAGTGAGCAGATTCACATGTTGCTTATGGACGCGTAGTAGGCTCACCTAGCCTGGTCATGTGACGTTGCATTAGCCGACAAAGCTTCCAAGTTGTATCGACTAACTTCACTGTTATGAAGTCTTGCGCGGACCGAGTGCAAGCACCTTTATTATTTAAAAAATATATAGGTAATTAAGAAACACCAGGCGTACATGGCTCTTGCAGTACAGTCATAGTAAAACCTATAGAAAGCAGCATAGGCTTGCGCTGGGTTCACCGTCGGGGTGAAGGGGAGGCAAGTTTCGCTCCTCACAGCTCCCCACCCGCCTTCTACTAAGCCAACGTACGAGGTAGATTTCACACCTCTTATGTAACTAGGAAGGTGCCTCCCTCCCCTTTCCAATCAAGCGCGCGCCTATGAGGAGCCTGTTGTTGACTCCCCTGTGGCGACCACTACAAGCACACTTGCAAGTACCTCATCTTCTACGCCACCCTTCACGCTGTTCAAGTTGTTATGGTGCTCAACTGCTGTCCCGAAAATCACAGGATCAAATTCGGGCCGTGGTATCAACACGTTTGATGGAAACAAAAGTGCTTGAGGCACTTAAATTTTGACTTAAATCAGCGTTAAAGAAATCCCGGAGGTTGAAATTTGCGGAACCCTTCACTGCGTCTTCCGTAATATAGTGGTTATGGAACGTTCAACCCCAACAATTAGTATTAGCAGAAGTTGCGCCATAACTCATAATTTCCGAAGTAGGGAAGCACCTAATATGGCAACACTTGTCCTTACGCGAAGAAATGGGGCACCCGATAACTATAAGGCGTTAGGTGCACGTAGATGATGCATCTATTGAAGATTAGTGTTGGCTGAACCCTTTGAAATGGGCGGGAAGCTTTCAACAATCCACCGTTGCGTGGACGCGCATTGGATGAAGTCTGATTGATATTTCATTCTTCTATGCCGCAATATTATATTTTTCAATAGGATCGTTTGTCCGACATGATGCCTGGGAGTTTCAAGCACCGGCTTCAACTGCCACTCGAAAGGGTCCGGGTTGATATCCCTTTCTATATTGGATATATTTTCTGATTTCGCACGATAGTCATTACGTATACCGGCAGTGGGCCACGGCGCAATAATAATAATAATAATAATAATAATAATAATAATAATAATATAATAATAATAATAATAATAATAATAATAATAATAATAATAATAATAATAATAATAATAATAATAATAATAATAATAGATGTTGATATCTAACACCAAAACTATGATATGTAATGAGAGGCGCTGTAATGGAGGGCTTCGAAAATTTCAACCACCCAGGGTTCTTCCACGTGCACCTGGGTCTAAGTGAATGAATCTCAAGCATTTTGCTTGCATTGCAAAGGCGGCCGAGATTCCATCTTGCAACCTGCTGGTCACCAGTAGAGCACCATAAACACTGAACCATCATGGCAGGTTTCGCCCCCAGAAAAGAAGCTGTTGTGATTTCACAGCACCTTTCGCTGTAAAATAAGGCTGTTGCTTTGGCGCATAGCCAGAAAAAAGTGATAACGAAAAGAAGCAACGCAACGTTCATGATCGACAGAGACAGAAATGAAGAGAAAAGACAAGGAGGTTATTAGGCGAAGTGACAATATAGCTATTTAAATAAGCTTATTTAATTAAACTAGCTACAGAACTACGTACGTATCTCTGATGTCGCAATAGAGCCTCCAGTTTACCAGTTTTGCTTAGCCGTTGTGTGTTGTCTTCGCTGCAACGTTATGTGGACTATTTCATCGTATGAATATATAATAATGGCTTTTAAATAATGTGATTTAAAAGAAAAGTAAATATACGAATGTCTCGACGTTTATTGCAGGTTCATAGTACTTTTATACAGTTAGAACTCTCCAAGTTTGATATGATAGGTGCGTACTTGTGGCACGCATTTCGCTTTCTATGTTGTTCGGTAATATTCCGTGCCGCCTTCAACTTCTAGTGACTCCCTGCAGCAGTGTCCTTCTTGTGCAGTTACCAGCTTTGAGTGACCCGCTAGCGACTTCATTCTTGAGTGAGCTGTCTGATAATTAACTTGCCAGATATTACATTCATTTCTCTAAGATTAACTGTATTTTCAGTGCGTGTGTCCTAACCCAGGGCCAGCCCCTCTGTTTTACTACAGGAGATTGTCTATGACTTTGAAATGCGACACACACACACACACACACACACACACACACACACACACACACACACACACACACACACACACACACACACACACACACACACACACACACACACACACACACACACACACACACACACACACACACACACACACACACACACACACACACACACACACACACACACCACACACACACACACACACACACACACACACACACACACACACACACACACACACACACACACACACACACACACACACACACACACACACACACACACACACACACACACACACACACACACACACACACACGCACACACACACACACACACACACACACACACACACACACACACACACACACACACACACACACACACACACACACACACACACACACACACACACACACACACACACATACACACACTTTCTGTGTGCGTGCGTGTTTTTCTCTGCCTACCGTCACTCATGCTGTTCAAATTTAGCATGAGAAACCAACCAGCCCAACAATATCATACGTACAAGCTCGTCATCAATTTTTACATTGCAAATGAATGGGTGAGTTTCGAATTTCACGGAGGGGGTAACCGTACTAGCAGCGTAATATATAGCAGCTAGAGATCTAAACAAAAGCCAGCATGTGTTTCTTATTAACGCGACAGCGTTAACTAGCGCGTTTCGCAGAAATACTGGCATCGGCCCGTTAGGTTGTGAGCGAAAAATCATGATCTTATGTGTGACCGAAAAATCTAGGCCGATTCAAATAAAATAAATAGTAATGAAACACTCCAGGGCCAGAGTGGCGATCGACCCCGCTGTGGTGGCCTAGTGGCTAAGGTACTAGGTGCTGACCCGCACGTAGCGGTATTGAATCCCAGCTGCGGCGGCTGCATTTTCGATGGAGGTGAAAATGCTGTCGGCCCGTGTGTTTAGATTTAGGCAAAAACGACCCGGTTTCCATCGCCACTCTGATTGATATGTAGGGTTTAACGTCCCATAACCACCACATGATTATGAAAGACGCCGTAGCCTATTCCTGGGTCAGAGTTGCGATCCGCCCCACCCGGTGGCCTAGGCTAAGATACTCGGCTGCTGACCCGCACGTCGCGGGATTGAATCCCAGCTGCGGCGGCTGAATTTTCGATGAAGGCGAAAATGCTGTAGGCTTGTGTGCTTAGATTTAGGGGCACGTTAAAAAACCCCAGGTTGCCGAAATTTCCGGAGCCTTTCACTACGGCATCTCTCATAATGATGTGGTGGTTATGGGACGTTAAACCCCACATACCAATCAGACTGGCGATCAAACCCGGGTCGTTTGTCTGGAAATCGGACGTTCTACACACGGCCAGGCGTCTGCTTGTGAGCACCATGAAAGTAACTTCCTCCGCTTAGAAATGCAGTGAACGTAACACGTGCTTTACAAACACACACGTCCTGTACACATGGTCCACAATTCAACATGTAATATTGCAGTTATAACGCGTGGTACAAGCCTCCATTGGCATCGGGCGTGAAAACATGCGATTATCATGATGACTTTGTGGTTTAAAGCCGGTAGTCCACTACAAAAGGCCCACACGCTAATGCACCCGTTACCTCAAGGTCACGTAATGGGTGCACAGCAAGTTCGAAAAGGTTTCATGCATGAAATACACACTAGAAACAGGATGTCGCTATCACGTTTATCTTTTAAAGGCGAAGCTCTAGGGTCCCCTAATTAATTCTTGAAAAGGTTATCATTGTCGGCCTAGTTGAAATCGCACGACAGAACATGCAAGATATGTGCAGACAACTAAAGTAAGCTTCAACACTTCCCGTAACATTACAGTGGCATGAATTGTTACATGAAATATGCTGGATAGCAGAACGCAAGCAAGAAAAAAAAATGTGATGATTGGGACTCAAGCACCCTGTAGGCCGCTGTGCTCCGGTAACAGCAAAAGCAAGAAAAAAAAGGAAAAGGAACTTGATCCGTGACTAAAAAAGAGACTGTAATCTTTTGAAGTTAACTAGGACTTTTCACACCATGTCATCTCCCGCCTACAATGTTTCAAATTATTTTCCCAGCGAAGTTTCAGTTGAACTCGCCGAATGTGGCATATTGAAAACGTATCGCAAGAAATAAAACTTTCTGACGAAATAAGAGAGGGGCCCGTGAACCACATCCAATAAATGTCGTTGAAATCTATGCTGCGATGGCCCACTCGTACTTCCCCTTCTGAATGGTGTTGTCCCCTGACATTTGCTTTGGGCGCTCTCCGCAAGATAGCGCTCTAACACTCGTAGAGCGATCGACACAGTACAACAGCAATATAATTTATTAATTAGGACAACTTGCAGTGAATCCGTATCAAGCAGTGTTCAATATCTGTAGTGCGTGCAATGTTCCCGCTCTCTATAGCGACCGTATATATATTGAACAGTCTTAAGGACACCTGGTTGGATAAGCTAACCAAGGTGAGGGGTGCTATTGCGACAAAAGAACCTCCCCCGCCACTCCCCTGATTACAAACACACACGGAAGAGAAAAACCAATGCAAGAAAAAAAAGGCAGTGTCATAGAACACCTCACATACGTTGAAGGCCTTGGTCCCTGACTACAAACACCGATGAAGATATGCGCAGAAAATGCTTGCGCTCCAACGACGCTCGCGCACAAGTGATCCCAGAACGCGTCTAGTTGCTGTACTTGATTAGTCACTCCAGCATTTGCCTCTAGTTTTATGCTCTGCAGCAAAGTCTGCGAGTCGAGCCGGCTAACGAATAACGCTTTCCGAACTACCAGTCGTTTGAAGAAGCGCAGAGGGTGATGAGAGGCGAACCGTACTAGAATGTCTTGGTTCCCCCCCCCCCCTTCCCCTCCCTTCTTTTCTGGTTGTTGGCTAATGCGTTTCTTGAGTGTCTTTTTGTTATGCCGAACTAGAATTAAAATGCAAAGCTTTATATTGCGGGCTGAAGATTCCGGTTTGATGATTGCTACATTCAAGACACACGCGTCAATTTAACGATCCTTGCCCTTTGAGCTGCTTCTTCGCTCCTTATCGGAATGTGTTGCATAAATTAGGCTAGCTACGGATGATGCCCGCCGCTGTGGTTGAGTGACCATGGTGCTCGGCTGCTAACGCAAGGATTACGGTATTGAATGTATAAACAGCGAAAAAAAAAATCAGCCCGAACATAGCGGGTTTTTCCTCTGCATTTAATATATTTCCTTTGAAAATGCCAGAGCTACGGCACAGCTCATCATTGCGGGTTGATTAGACTATAGAGGACAAGCAGTTCAACCCATTTTTCGTTTTATTTTGTTTAGTGTCATATGATACGGAAACACCTGTGTATTGTTTGAAAACGTGGCATTTTACACCCTCACCGATAGCCAACCCTACAGTCAGTTCCGACAATAAGACACTCAAACTGGCTTGTGCGTGTGCATATCAAGCACTACTGAGTACCACACCATCATATTCATCATCAGGCTGACTACGCCCACTGACGAGCAAATGCCACTCCCATGATCCGCATCAACCCGGTATTATGCTTCCTGCTGCTACGTTATATCCGCGAATTTTTTATATCACCAGCCCACCTGACTTTTTGTCTCCCTCTCACATGTTTGCCTTCTGAGAATTCAGTCAGTCACCCTAATTGACCATGCAGCGATTGATTATCCTGCATACGTGCTACGTGTCCAGCCCATGTCCATTTATTCTTTATTGAAACTATGATATCCTTAACTTCGGTTTGTTCCCTGACTCCATCTGCTCTTTTATTGTTATTTAAGATGCATCTATCATTTTCCTTGCCATCGCTCGCTGCGTCGTCCTCAATTTAAGCTGAACTCTCTTAAGCCTCCAGGTGTCGGCTTCATAGGTAAGTACCGGCAATATGCAGCTGTTATATACCTTGCTCTTGAGGGTTAGTGGTAGATTAACATTCATGATTTGAGAATGCTGGCCGAATTCGATCCACGTATTCTTATTCTTCTAGTTATTTCATTCTCATGGTTCAGCTCCACAGTTGCTCCCTGACATAAGTAGACACATTCCTTCACAACTTCCAGCGTATCGTCACCTATCGCGAAGCGCTGTTTCCTGCCGAGACTATTAGTTAATTATCTTTATGCACATTAATTTTTAGACCAATACTCCTGCTTTCTGTGTCCAGTTCAGTAATTATTAACTGTAATTCAGCCCCTCAATTACTCATCGAGGCAATGTCATCAATGAAGTGCAGGTTACTGAGATACTCTCCATTAACTTTTATCCCTAACTCTTCCCAACCAAGGATCCGAAAAACCTCCTGTAATGATGCGGTGAATAGCATGCAGAGATCGCGTCTCCCTGCCTTACACCATTCTTTATTTGGTATTCCGTCGCTTTCTTTACGGTGATCTATACGGCATCCGAATCCACTGTAGATTTATTCTAGATTGTTCATGCAGGGCTCATCGATGCCCTGATCTTGTAGTGTTTGCATTACTGCGGATGCCTCGACTGAGTCAAACGCCTTCTCGTAATCTATGAAGGCTATATATAGGGGTTGGCTGTAGGGGTTTGCTGTAGGGGCTTGCTGTATTCTGCGCATTTCTCTAGCACCTGATTCATAGTATGAATATGGTCTATTGTGGAGAAGCCTGTACAAAATCCTGCTTGGTCCTTCTATTGATTGAACTATAATATCACCCCAATTCCATTAGCTATCAATTTTGTAAATAGTTTGTAGAGAACGGACAGTAAGCTGATTGTGACCTGTAATTTTTAGTTACTTGACGTCTCATTCTTATGAATTAAGATTATGTTGGCGTTCTTCTAAGATACGTGTACCCTTTCCGTCAAGAGACACTTCATATATAAGGTATCCTAACACAGTTTCTCCACCATCTTTCAGAAGGTGTTACCTTATCCTCACCAGTGGCTTTGCCTCTTTGCATTCTTTTTAGGGATTTCCTTACTTCCCCTGTCGTTACTGGCAGAATGTCGCATTTATCGGGGCTAATATTTATTCTTACACTATCATCCTGGTTTTATCGGCATCTGTACTGCTTTTTGTATAACTCCTCCACCACATCCATATCGGTTATGACATTGCCTTGCTTGCCCTTAACACGTACATCCGGTTTTTGCCTATGCACAAGTTAGCCTTCGCTGCTTTTAAGCTCCTGCCGCCTTTTAGAGCCTGCTCAATTCTCTCCATGTTATACCTTCTGATGTCGGCTACCTTACGCCTGTTGATTAACTTCGAAAACTCCACCAGCTTCATTTTGTGAGTTGCATTTCAGGCTCTTATGGTTTGTGGTCTCTTGATAAAAGCTTTCGTGTCCTGGGATAGTTTGCCTGATTCCTGTGTAGCGACTGTACTATCGTTCGAACACACCAGCGCGTGTCCATAAGCCTCGAACCCCACATTGGCTAATTTGCAGGGGCCGCTGTCGGAAACAAAATGAAAAGGGTTCCACGCTTCCGCTAGCTGTTCGTACTCCCGCCTAGATATCGTTGCTCCAAAGCGGGAGCTTGTCAGAGACCGATAGCAGCAATGCAAATTTACTATAACGCACCCAGCCCGACGCAGTCACCATCAGGGTATGTAGCAGCTGAGATTTTCCTTAACGTACCCTATTGTTATGCACAGGTCATGCCTGTATTATATCTAGGTGATGCTGGTTGAATATTTTGATGTGCCCGCCCTATTTTTATTTTGTTTTCGTGGAAATTCTTCTTTTGCGTGTGTGTTATTATTCCTCGCGGCCGATGCCACGCAATCAGCTGCCGTTTTGCAGCGACGCTACCGAAGTGGGAGTGCCGACACTAAGAGGAAGAGCACCCCACCATTCTTCTCGGGTTTGGTCAGTGCCATCCACGTATTACATTATCTAGGTTTTGAGGCTATTTGCCACATTCTTGCGTGTTCTAGCTCATATTCTCCATGACTTCCATTGCAAACTCTTTAATGATAACAGTAAGACTATCGTTCATTGTGTCAACGCTAACGTCGGTTACCTCGTTTAGAGCCGCGAAATCTTTCAGAAGCGAAACTTCGAATTTCTGTACTTTCCCTCTCACCTGCTAGTTCAATAATTTGTTTCTTGCGTATCAGTTTATGCCTTTGATTTTTAAAATCTAGGTGAATTCGAGCTCTTACCATTCTGCAGGTCACTGCATCGCTTCTTGCCAACTGCTTCTACATCCTGTACAGTGCTTGGGTGTGCACGCAGATTGAAGTCTATTTCATATTTAGTTTCGCCATTAGGACTCCGCCACGTCCACTTACGTTTAGCCCGTTTACTTTCTGTGTACCTGGTAACTGTTAAATTTGTCCCTCAGTCATTCACTGAGTTATGGTCTAATGCTGCTTGCGAATAGCAAAATTTAGGGCAACGAAACGAGACAATGAATACGTCAGGACACATCTGGGTGTTGTGTTATCTTTCTTCTTATATTTTGCGCTAAATGTCGCTATAGAATCACTCATGCAATCAGCCTGCTAAGTGCTCAGTATTGATCAACTTTGGAAACTTTGAGTTCTTCAGGCATCCTTAGTTAACTTTCGTGTCCCGTTGAGGTAGTATGATTCGGCTACGCAATGCACGCAGCGTTTGTGGAGTTCAAATCAAGTCTGGAAACGTAGTTAATTGCGGTTGCCACGTTTATTTATAAACATTATTTTGGTGTGATCAGGTTTCAGTTACATAAATGGGAGCAATACTCAGCGCAGACCACGTCATAATGTTTGGGGAGCTTCGTGATTGTTTGACACAATTCTGTTAGGATTACCCACCCAAGACGCGAACAGTCAAGTTTATTCAAGAGCTTACGTGAGCACTAGTCATAGCGTTGGAAGGCTTGATGACTACTGTACGATAGACGTAGCGATTCACCGAAGATCATATTATTGACGGTCGACGTTCTGTCCACCAATAACAGAGTATAGCGTGCATTGCTTGTGCTTTGACTTTTCGTTTACCGGGCACAATGCTCACCTATATAAAAGGTTTTCATACGAACCTGACGACTGCTGCTTTCTTAAATTTCACAATCACGTGACACTATATAACGAACTTATCTCAACTGTTTCGTGTAAGGATGATGTTCTGGTGTGCGGTATGGGGAAATGGGCTGGAAGCGATGTCATTCAGGTTCACATCCGAAGGTTTTCGGGCAAAGCTCCACATGAGCCTTTGTATGAGTCGTACGAGGATGCAGAACATGGTCACATGCGCGAATTTTTCTCCTGGATATGTCCACGGTCACAGACCGAAGGCGATTAGTGTTCCGAAGTCCGGCATGATGCACTTTTCCGGAAGAGGGGTCTAGGAATCTTTCTGGCCGAAATTGTCCTGCTTTGTCCCACAAGTTGGGGTCGTAGTTAACTGCGTATACATAGTAGAAGACGCCGGTGTTCTTGGGTGTAACAAGGTGACCTGCAGAAAGGAACTTTATTAGTTCCACGGTCTGCATCTTGTAATCGAGAACTACCTTAAAAACAAAATTGAACAGATTTTACGTGACTTTCTCATTTACGTTAAGTTGCTTCCTTTTACGCGGTTTTATTTTTATCCACGTTCTGTTACTTCGCTGGTTTACAAAGGCGGATGTTATTTAGACGACTTTCTTTTGATACGTTGGAATGCATTCGCCTATAAGGGAACCTTTTCTAGGAATTGGAAGACCTTTACGTCCCATGCCTGATGCTTCGCTGTTTGCTTCCTTCGTATAGACAAGGAATGGCAATAAAACCTGACGTTTTGTGCTTGGCAACTACTTTTTC